CTCACTCAGGTCGACCCCCCGGAAGCCTTGTTGTAATTCATCTGAAGTGTGCTCACTCAAGTCGACCCCCCGGAAGCCTCGCTGTGATTCATGTACAGAGTGGGAAGTCAAGTCCTCCTTGTGAGCGCCTGTACCTAACTCTGAAACCACCTCACCGTCTACACCCTTGGGATCGCCTTTAAGAAAGGTTGAGACTGTGTATACCTCCTCGGTATGACCCCCAGATGTTACCGACTCCTCAAGTATCCGAACATTGTTCTCGGGGAGTGGCAGAGGTGTCGCGTTTCCGATTATCGACGACGGCTCCTTGTGTTTGTTGGTGAAAGTAGAAGATGCTTTTGTAACTGGCCGCACATCTGCTTCTGTTGGCTCGTGAGATGGCGGCACAAACGATGTGCGGGCTGCAGTCGGTGACGGCTGTGAACGAATGCTGTGAGCCCCTCCCTCCGTCAGCGTCACTGGTGTCACTGAGCGTGGCGACGGGGCCGATTTCAGCTCTGACTGTGGCTTGAGAGTGAGAGTGGGAGTGGAATCGTAGACAGGCTTCGAAGACGGCTCAAGTTCAGCGGAGGGCGCGGCAGACTCGGAAGACGGCTTTGGCTCGCAAGCTGGGGTAGGGATCGGCGTCGAAGAAGGTAGTTCAGATTCGTGAGTTGGCGCAATGGTAGGAGTAACCTCATCCTTCACTCTCATCCGAGGCAGCTGTTCTGGATAGTCTGGTGACGCTGATCGCAATGGATCAGAACCTGCCGGATGTGGAGGTGAAAGTTGTGCCTGTTCTGAGTCCTTCAAACCGTTGCTCTGGAGGGATCCTGTGGCATCTGAAAGCCGCTTTCCAGATTGAGAAGCAAGATGGAGCTCAGCCTTGGTGGCTGTGAAAGAGGGAACATAGCTTGCACTACCAGACTCTGTACTCCTAAAGCCGCTGTCCGCAAAATTTGGTCGTGTCAACGGTGTCGGCTGGGACTTGGCCAATGAATGACTCTGTGCTTGTTCCGATCCGTGCTGGGCTTCATCCAAAGGTCTACTGGCAAGATCCCCGCCAGTCATCTCAAGGTGATTGTTCGGCATGTGAGTATGATTGTCTGAGATGTCATGACGAGTTTCCGATTCAGTACGATTATCTCTTGGCTGAATTGTACGACGAACCGTATTGATTGGAGCCTGCAGTTGGAGGGCTGGTAACAGAGAATCTGCCACATCATGTCGTCCTTTTACACGCTCAGCCAGCGGCTGGAAGCTTGCTGTATCTTGCTGAGAAAGCGGGTTGGACTTGGTCTCCGTTGCCGACGAACTCAGATCATGTCGAGCGGATTGAGACTCGCCTGCGGAGATCGTGTCTAGGTCTTGCCTGGGTTGGGGAGTGGGAGTGTCTTTCCCGTTGCGTTGTTTGTGGTCCGGCTTCGTGGATGATGTGGAGTCAAGTTGAGCGGTATCAGATATAGTTGTAGGCATGGTGTCCTCCTTTTGCTTGGATGAGGGGATTGGAATGTTCTGCACTTTGCGTGGGTTGCTCTTGTCCTTGGTCGACGACGTTGGGTCGTGTTGAGCGGATTGAGACTTCCTCGCAGAGATGATATGCTTTCCTTGTTCAGGTGAGGACAAGACCTTGGATGTGGCCTTAAGTGAGTCGGTGAGGTGATCCTTAGGAGCGAGATCTGAGGTAGACTGGAGTTCAGTAGGCGAGATGGCCAGCCCAAGTCCATCGTGTTGGCGATGATTAATAGTTGAGTTGGAAGGATGGCCCTCTTGACGGGTATTCGAGTTCGAAGGGCGACCCTGTTCGTGACTGGTGTCCAAGTGGGAAGGGCGACCCTGTTCGTGACTGGTGTCCAAGTGGGAAGGGCGACCCTGTTCGTGACTGGTGTCCAAGTGGGAAGGGCGATCCTGTTCGTGACTGGTGTCCAAGTGGGAAGGGCGATCCTGTTCGTGATTGGCGTCCAAATGGGAAGGGCGGTCCTCACATTCACGAACCTTTTCATGCTTGTTATCCACCGCAACCACACGATCATGTCCTAAACCGATGTCTGAATCGGAATCACAACCCTTTCCATGAGCAGTGGTCGGATCGGACTGGCGACCTTGGGCACGGCTGGCATTCAAGTTGAATGGACGATCTTGTTTGCGGAGGCTAGTATCGGAATGGAAGTCATCGTCTTCTCCATGACCGATGTCCAGGTGAGTCGAACTCGGTCCAGAGACGGGATCTACCGGCCAGCTGCCGGGCACCTGGTCAGCGTCGAATACATGTTTCGGCGATGTCGTAACGCGTTCTTTGTCGAAATTACCATTGGCTCGTCCATTAGTACTGTGGTGGCGTCCTCGGTTGGTACTGCGATCACTCGCTCCAGTGCTCCGTGCATGGTCAGACTCTGGTTGTGGTTGTGGTGGCGCTATCGAACGCTGCATGACTAGATTCTCCAGAACTCCGGCCTCCACCTGCTTCCTCAACGCCTCAACCTCTCTGGCTCTAAGGAACTTTTCCTCGTCCAGCTGCTCAGACAACCTCTGTCTCTTCTCCTCCGCTTGTGTTATTTCCCGCCAATGGTTGGACTTGATGACCTCGATTTTTGAGTCTCGGCGAGTTGTCTCGGCTTGTTGGTTCCGGAGCAGGTCCTGTTGAGTTTGCAACTGGGCCTGGTAAGCCTGCAGCTGCGCCTGATACTGTGAACAAGTCAACGCCAGCTGTGCAGACGCAGACGCAAGCTGTGACTGGAGGAGCTGGTTAGTAGAGCGCAACTCGAGACAGATGTCTTGATAGTTTACAAGCTCGCGCGCTTCTGAACCAGTCTGGGAAGCATGTCCAAGCTGGGGCGCTGGTTGGGAAGATGACTGCAGGAGACTGATTTGGTTCTTCGAAGCACTGATAGTGTGCTTTTGACTGGCAATGACGGCATTTCGTTCCGCAATTGTGCGCCTCAACCGCGAGAGTGTGGCTTCATGTTCGGCCGTGGTATGTTTGTGATTGGGCTTTGCTATTGGTGACATCACTGCCCTTTCTTTTCCCTTGGAAAGAGTGATATCGTCCTCGCTTCCAGAGTCGTAGTTTCGTCTTCGACGCTTATTTCGCTTGACATGACTCGGCCCTGAAGATCCTGGAGGAGACGACTGGCCCTGGGGAGTCACGTATGCAGGCGGCATAACGTTCCGAAGTGACGAATCAGTGTTGGATGACTTAGGCTTGCTGCCATTGGGACTGGAGATCATCCCACTAACAACTGAAAAAGCCGCAGCAGGCAATCGGGCCAACATTCGCGCTCGAGTGGATCGAGGTTCACTAATCCGGTGATCGGGAGCGCGGGAGATTGTGCCCGGTTCTGGTGTACGAGTATCAAGTGCTTCAAGCGAAAGAGTTAGTGCACGGTATTGAACGCTGCGGGTCCGGACTTACTGCTCGAGAGTGCGGCAGGGGTCTTGGAGAAGCGCTGCGACAACGATTCATCTCTTTGCCCAGGAGGCGGTTGCGACAAAGCACGTTCTTGAATCGACGTAGGAGCATCAGTGCTGTTCCCGTGGACTGCCTGTAAGCTAGCAGATGCTCCAAATGGATCAAACGTCTCTGTCCGGGTGACAGTCTTGGAGGTACCGCGGATCTTCGAGGCATCTGTCGTCGCAGAATCAACTGATCCAGCGCTAGACCCAGGTCCCTCAGGCAGCTCGTCATCCCCTTTTGCCTTGACAAACACTGAATTTGTCATGGGTAGACCGGTCTCGATGGAAACGCGGATGCTCGAATCTGTGACATCGGTCATGTCGTCGTCGTTGCTGCCGGTGTCATGTTGTAGCGTGCCGGGATGTTGTCTCGTGGAAGGTCTGTTGGAACCGTACAAGACCATGTTGCGAATAGCAGGCTTAAGTCCATCAACGAGATCACTGCTCGAATGGATTAGTACCAGTCAATGCAAGCTATCGTCAACTTACGTTGGCGCATCTTCAGCAATGCTGGGGAGCCTGGCTCTCTTCGAACTGCTGGGGAATGAGCCATTGTTAGCTTGGGATGATGTTCTCTTCTTTTGGATGGGCGGTAGCTTCCTGGACGGCACTGCAGTTTGGGTTAGGTTGACCGGATAGGTACTGCTTTCTCCCAGCCTTGTTGATTTGGCAGATGTTTGAGGAGGGGGTGAGCATGACATGGACGCCGCCGATGAAGCAGTTGCCCTGCTATGGTCAGCGTGCATCTGAAAACAGAAATAAGACAGTCAAACTTTGTAGGAGCTTTTCGTGTTGTCCGTTGTGTAGTGGCAATAGGGTTCGGGTCAGGTGGTACTGGAATGACGCGCTTTGCGATTGATTGTGAAGCTGTCGGAGTCTTGCTACTAGACCGTCTTGAAGGCATGGACATGCCTGGAGTAGACTCCTGGCCTGAGAGGCGCGGACTGCTGCGTGGACCGCGTTGTCCAGACAGACGAGGACTACTACGTGAGCCACGATTGTTCTGGCTGGAGAAGCGAGATGCGGAAGACATTGTGAAGGTGTTGGACAATGGACAATGCGTGATAGATGCTAGTTGTAAGCAGTGCAGCAACCTGTGTAGTCAAAGCGTGCAAGTATTTGGATGCGGGGAGTAAAGAAGTTGGTGTAGACGGAAAAGCTAACAAAGATGCAAAAGTCAATGAAAACCGACGACTTATTCGCGATAGGACGAGAAGAACGTGAGTCGTGAAGAGTTTGGAATAAACTTCATCACAGTGGGAGGTGCTTCTACCGCAGATCTGGGCTTCTCCATGCCTGCTCGCTCGTACTAGGACCTGTTTCATGTTGCTCACGATGCGGAACATGCAATGTACGCGGGCTGCCGCCGGGTTCCTACGGGAAGGAGGCCGCATCAAGGGATATATTCGCTGTTCTTGATATCGAACAACGTCATAATGAATGTAGGCTGAGCGACACGGTGGCTACCCATCAGCCTGGAACTTGGACGTTGTACGAGGAAGACGTACAATGTGGTGTAAGTGGGGTGGCGTCGCGCACTCAGGAGGCCGCGCTCTCGAAGCAACCGAGCTGACTCACCAAGCGCCGAATTTTAGCGCCCTCTTCAAAATCACAATGCAACTCGCACCACTCCTACACTGCCCCCTTCTTCATGCATCTTCCCATCTCCTTCCCAATGCTGCATCCTCTCTCCCTATCAACCTCAAGCCACTACGCAAACCCGCATCCCCAATCACCCTAGCCCTGCATGCACACGCATCCATTAATGGCCAAAAACTGTCCCAAGCTCTCACCGCAAGGCCGAATTTAAAACGAAACGACTACTGCATCTTACCGTTTTTCTCTCAACACATCTATCAGCATGCTGATTGTTTGCCATTTGCGCCGCCAGGATGGAAAACAGACACGCTGATGCATGTACGCGTTTTCGTGCCCTGCTGTCAAGAATTCACCGCCGCTTCTTGCTATTGTGATGGCTATTGCGATGGATATTCAGCAGGAGTACAACGGATGTGGGGAGGCTGCGTCAACCCGTGCGTGGAGGCCGGGATCTTGCGAGGCGAGGCGGGACGGAGATCGGGGGTAAGGATGCGTATTTGCTGCGTTTACAGGTTACACAGTGCGTGGTTGGCTTATTTTGCGCGTGCTTTCCTCCGTCTCTTCGCCTGTAAGAAGTGGATCTTTGTGCAGATTCTGTCTACGCAGCTAAGCTAAGCTGGAAACCCACCCAGCGATGGAAAGACAGACAGAGTAAATAGTTCCCACTAAGGAGATAGTGTTGACACATGGATTACGAACAATCGACCAAAAGCTGTGGTAGCGAATTGTCGACCGAAAGCCAGAGGAAACGCCGAGAAACGCAAGGCTCTGAATGGTCGAACGGATTGCTGCTGTACTACTCAGTCGGTCAACGGACTCAGTTTATGAGGGTTACACAGTGCGCCGGCGCGTGCCGGTGCGTCGCCTTCCCTCTTTCCTTCCCTTCCCCGTAGGATATGACATTTCGCGCGGGCGATCGCTGGAGGCGGACAAACAGCGTGGGTGAAGGACGAGTGAGGGTAACACCATGCAGCGCCGTCTGCCGTGGGTCGACGCTTGCGCTTCCCCGAAGCACTTCAGCGGTAAGTTGCAACGTGTTGGATGAGGACAAACACAATTTACAGGGTGAATAGGATTCCCATCTATATACTTATCTCTTGATAGTTTCGCCCAAAATTACATGCCCTTCATCATTTCAAGCTCTTCATTTACATCTACAACACCACATCACCCGACAAACCCAATGCCTCCTCCTCCTACCGCCGCCATGGAAATGCGACCTTCTACCCTTCTCCCCCCTCGTGCTGACCGTACTCTTATACTGCGGATCCTGCTACTCATTTTTCTCCCCCCACTAACATACTATGCTATGCCTCCCCTCCTACTCAAGCTCCTGCACCCACCGATGTCCTACACGTCTCTTCTCGCGCCTACTATCCTGCTCGTCGCCGTGCTGCTCGTTGCAAAACTCATTACTCCACTTGGTCTCCCACTTGGTGCTACGTTCAGATTTCTATACAGCGCCTTGACCAAGCTATGCACATACCTAATTGGCACGCCGCCGCACATTCTCCTCGAAGAGCGCGGCCGGGTCGTCGAGCACCGCGTCCGAACCCTCGACCACGCCGTCAACGCGCTGCAGATCGAAGGTTTGTTTTCCGTGCCCCCAATTGCAACCACAAGTCTAATACGCCCCAGAAACAAGTCGGAATGCAGACCTCCGTATCTCCCTAGCGCGCCGCCTTCTTCCACACGGCGGCCGTCTTCTTCCACACGGCGTCCGTACCAACCGCCCGACACTTGAGCACCGGCGCCTCGCCATTGAGCTAGCAAACACACGGCAGGCGCTTGCAGACGCGCGGGAGGAGTTATTCAGTCTGCAGGGCGTGGCGCGCGGGATACAGACAGCGATTACAAGGCATGTAGTTAGGAGTGCAGTTGGAGATGCAGGGAGACTGATGGGGAGGTTGGAGAGGAAGGGGGAGGGGGGCGCAGGCGCTGTTGGGAATTTCGCGGAGAGGGTATACAGGGCAAGAGATGGGATTAGGGTGGCTGGGCAACAACTTGGGGTGGGAGAAGACGAATGGAAGGAACTGCTTAGGGATCGGTGGGACAGGAGGAGTGAGTGAGAAAGTAGTTGGCAGCTGGAAGGGCGGGATAAGATGAAGACACTTGTATGAGTATTACTGCCGGGCTGTATAGAATATACAAGTATTTGGTAATGATTTAGTCCTGTGCTTTGATTGGTTTTGTGAAGCTTGGTCGGAATTAGGTCTGGTCTTGATGCGCCGGTGATGATGCGACAGTGATGATGCGACAGTGATGATGCGACAGTGATGATGCGACGCGCTTATATAATCACACCCAAGTGGTGATGCGACAGGCACGTGAGTCGTGATGCGATGCTCGTGTGAGTGGTAATGCACCGCGAATTTCATTGTAAATGCGACAAAAAACTGCGACGATAAGAAGCCTGACTTTAACCAAGTAATATACACTGCCTACAACGACCAACTATCGCCCAATCCTTCCCAAACCCCAATCTCAACGCCGTTACCACCCCCAAAGCAGCGTCTGCAGCACAGGCAGCGCCCCAACCCCGACTGCTACGCCCGCAGCACACAGCACAAGCACAAGCAACGATCTACATAGCCACACACATTAGCTCAACTCTCTTACAACAACCTTGCAAACTTACTCGCTCGCAACCTCGTGAACAGCTCTCTTCAACTTGTCCCTCTCCTCTACCAACCTACTCTTCACAAACTGCTCGTCAAACACAAAGAGGGCCGAATCCAAATCCCCCTGTCTAGGCGCTGTGCTGAGTGTCTCGGCGATGCCGCGCAACACAACACAAGCCACAACGCCACTCTCTGACGCATGAACCTGCGGCACACCGGAGCAGATGTTATAGTCGATGGTCTGGCCTTTGTTGCCATCTGCGTGCCTAAGTATGCGCCGGCTGACGGCGGCAGCCAGCGACGAATTCCAGCCCGTTTCGCACTGCTGGCCGGTCTCCGGGTGCATGAAGGCGATGCGCGTGTCGTAGAGCATGCCCAAGAAGGTGTGTGTGTTGGGCTGGCGGTGGATGAGCAGCACGCTCCATCTGCGATCGGCTTTGTGCTGGAGTGGCATGGCGAGGTGGGTCCAGGTTGGGGGCAGGCTGCGGATGAGGTGTGCAGCGGCAGTGGGCGTGCTGTTCAGCAGGGTGTTTTGGGCCGAAGGCGGGAGGAGTATGGTGGGCGGTGGCAGTGTGTAGAGGGCGGGGAGATGGTGCTGCGTTGTGAAGGATAGGATGCCTGGGGTCAGTGGGGCGGGGTGCGTGAGCGATGCTCTGTCTGCGCGGGTAAGGGGTGGATCCATGGTTGGGGTGTGGATGGGGGCGTGATGGGGGCGTGATGGAGGTAATGGCTGGTGTTGGGTTCTTCGGCGCGATGAAGCTGTGTAACGTCGGGGCGTGTCTGGTGGAACAAACAGACACGCGTAAACATGGATCTGCGTGCCGACACTTTCCCATCTCTTCTACGCGTGTCCTTCTGAACCAATATGGCGCGGCGACAGCAACGCGCACCAGCACGGAAAGCAGACACCAAACGCCCCTCTCACGACGGTGAAGCCATGGCTGCACCAGGACAGAAACGCCGCCGCGTGACCAGCGCAACGTCCATGGCCGACGACGTCGAAATGTCCTTGGACAACACTGACGGCAGCGGCGACGGCGACATGGATGTGGACAACAGCAGCAAAGAAACGTCCTTGGATCACACTGACAGCAATGGCGCCGACTGGGAAGCCCGTGTCTGGGCTGGCGCGCAACTTCAAGCCCTGGAGACGGCCATCGAAGCCGCGCCCTCCAACGCAGCCATCGTACACTTTGGCGAGTTCCTGCGCATGCGGCTGGTGGGTGCCGAGACGGAAGCGGATGGTGATGTTGATGGCGACGGCGACGGCGATGGCGATGGCGATAGCGACGACGACATGGACATGGAGAACAGCAGCAGCAGGGACTCGCGCGTGCTCGCGCGTCGTCTCGCCATCATCCATCGCGGCATGCGCCCCAGCCACGCACTCCCATCTGCATCGCCGCCAGCGCCAGCGCCGCCAACGCGAACACGGACCAAATCACACAGCACGCCCAACTCGACGCAGCGCTTTTTCGCCCGCCTCAGCACCCCGCTCACCCCGGCCCAGCTCCTGCAACTCCAGCAGCTGACCACGACCCTCAGGCAGGACGTAAGCACAGGCTCGTGTTTCGACCTGGACTTCCACGTGCCTAACCACAATTGCACCGACGACTCAGAACCGCTGCAGTTCCTGCTGCTGGACACGCTGCAGTTGGACTCGACGTCACTGCGGGCCCGCGTCGTGCAGGTGTTGCTGGGCTTGTTTTGGTTCGAGCTCGGCCAGACCTTCAAGCCTGGGACGGGGGCCAGTCTGGCGCACTGGGATGAGGGGACTTGGGCGAAGTTCTATCGCGTCGTTGTCCCCGCGCATCGGCGGGCTGATGTCACTACTCCTGCTGGCGTTGATGTCACTGATGTTGGTGTCACTGCTTCTACTAGCGTTGATGTCAGTGATGTTGAAGAGGAAGCCAAGGATGGATTGGTCGTCCCCCTGACCCTCGTCAAAGACACCATCCAGCGGTACCGCATCTTCGGACACCGTCTGCACCAGCTCCGCACCAACCTTTCGCCTGGCTGCATCTTGCTACTGATCCACGGCCTGGATATCGATGCCGTGAATGTGTGCTACTCGTGGTCCACCCAGCATGCTGCCGAGTTTTATGAACGCGTGAAAAGTGCGCAGGAGCTGTGGGGATCGGGGCGCGACTTGGATGGCCTGGTGGCCAGCCTGGGCGAGCTGTTTGCCGACAAGTATGGGTTGATCGCGGCGTGGGAGGGTGTGGCTGGGAAGAAGGCGGGGAAGAAGGCGGTGAAGAAGGCGGGAAAGAAGGGAGGGAAGAAGAAGATGGAGGGGGGGTTGGTCGAGGGGGAGTTGGTCGAGGGGAGGGGTTCAGGCATGCTGAGGGCGCTCGCAGAGACGGAGGAGAGTGGTGAGTAGGTAGAGGCAATACAACCCCCTCTTTCATTCCGCCTTGGATCTATCGACACTCTATCTATCCTGCCTACATAAGCTCAACCCACAGATTCTCTACCAAGGCCACAACCGTTACCGGGCTAACCGCCCACATACTCTGCACCCCCAGCACCTCATTCCTAGCCCACGTCCACCACGAGCCCCTTCCCACTTTCTTCTTCTCTACCTTCCCCTTTTTCTTGCGCTGCACCCTTGGCGCCAAACCACTACACTCCCTCCCCTCCAAAAGATCCTCCATCCCTCTCCCCGCCCCATCCAACTTGCGCTGCCACGCGCCCATCTGCCGATACGTTTTCATAACTTGGGACTTGATCTCGGAAGTCTCCAGCAGTAGTTTGTTCAAGATGTTCCTCTGGAGCGTCGAGCCATCCTCTGCAATCGACTTCCTGCGGGTAAGAAACTCATCATCCGCGCCGAAGCGATGCTCCATTTCCGCGCGCCATGCTAGGTCGCCGCCCGGGCTAGTGTACAGCGAGCGCGCCGCTTGTTGCATAACGTCTGCCTGGATGTAGACGTTTACTAGGCTGGCGCGGATAGTGGTTGGCGTAGACGTCGTGATGAGGTTGCGAAAGCGGAGGGAGCCGGTAAGCGAGGCAATGCCGTGGGTCGCCGTGTGGAGCACTCGGCATGTGTCTGTCTGGAGCACTTTGTCGGCATACGCGCCGGTCCACCATAGTACGTTCATGAGTCGGATTTCCCACCACGGCAGCGCGTCCATAGTGCGGGCGAGGTCTATTGTGCCATACTGCACCGCGGCGTTGATGGCGTGTACGCGCGTGGTGTGCGTTTCCATCTGTGCGATTGTCTCGTTCAGCGCTTCTTCGAGGTCGTGCTGCCAGAAGTTGAACTTCTGCATTTCGAAGAGCAGGAGCGGCGACCAGTTGTCGGGTAGGAGGTTGCTTGTCAAATTCAGGTGGTTCTTCATCCGCTGCTGGAGCGTTGAGTCGAGCGAGGTTGTGACATCTGACAACATGTGTAGTGTATTGCCGTCCTCGGCTGCGAGGAGGAAGAAATTGTGCGACAAGGTTGAGTTGTAGGTGTTGAACGGATCAGTGTTGTGCGGCATCTTCCATTGGATGAAAGTGCCCTGTAAGAAGAGGAATATGAGGACGAGGAGAAGGCATCTCGTGCACCACCAGATGCTCTGGAGGAGGCGTCTCACGGATGGTGGGAGTGGCGGCATGTCGATGGTGAGGTTGACGAATGTTGATATTGGAGGTTGATGTTGAGGCAGATGGATGCCGACCGATGAGCAAGCTGATCAAAATATGGGTGGGTATAATACCGGTAATGGAAAGGTAAAATACCCCAAGGCGGTCAGCCGGCTAGTTTGCGGCCATGATTTCACCTACAAATGCTGCAATGCATTCACTCCGATGGCTCGCATGGTTTGGCTAGGGTGCGACTAGAACCCGGGCGTACAACGTTTGTTTTTGAGTATAGCGCAGAACCGATGCGGATCCCGGCAGCATCATCAAATAAAGCCTCCCTCTGATCGTGACAAACATAGAGTGGCATTGTGCAAACTGGCGAGGTTACACAACGCCTGTGGGGTAAAACAATGTAGCATATTTCTCCTTTGTTGTCCTTTTACAGAAACGTCGGTCATGGTTCATATGTATCTGCAACACATTCTCAGTGATTGAACTCAGTTATACACTTCTTTTGGCGCATCACCTTTCAAGGCATCCTTCAGTTCATATCGCCAGCCCAGCATGGAGACAGGTCGGCAAGTCGAAGGCAGAATCCAGCAGCAATTGCACGACGAGTGGGTGGAGGAAGAGAAATCCGCAGCTAGACGGTCCTGGCTTCACGGCTACGGAATCGGCCGCGCATGGTCGATTCCGTTCGACAGAGGCCAAGAAGAAGAGTACGCGCGACGATGGCCAGCCGACGACAGTACCGAGTCGGATAGTACCGAGTCGGATAGTACCGAGTCAGACAGCAACGAAGGATCAGACGACGGCGACGAGCCCATTCCAGCCAACGACACCCTTTACAACTGGCTCATCCTCCTCTGGTTCCTCCTCGTCTCCCTCCTCTTCATAGCATGCAACCTCCGCGACTACGCGAACATGCCGCCGCCAACCCTACTGCAAGGCTGGTCCCCTGACTGCGCCCCCGTCTGGCTGCACGCCACATCCCCTGACCGCATGCTTGCGGGCTACGACCGGCGCTACCCCGACGTCACCCCGCCCTTTGCGCTCGTCCATCAGCGTTACAAAGCAAGCCAGCGCTGTTGGCACGCTGACCGCAACAGGAAGCACACTGCTAACGCGCTGCACGTTGTGCTCCCCACGGCCAACGGACGGGAATACGTCGACAACGAGAACAATCTCGCCATCACGCGGCGTCTCGACCACGCCTTGTCTATGCTGACAGACTGCCGTGGATTCCCCTGCAAGGGCATCTTCAGCTCGGAGGCGTCTTTCGAGCGGTGGGACTGGCTTGCTCGGCCGGACGATAATCTCCCCGTGCAAGGCACGAGTTGCACGCGTTGTCGTCTGCGCGACGCCGTCAAGCAAGTCCTGCACGCTGCCATCGACCCCAGTTTCACTGACACCTACATGGCCGCGTATCCCAAGACATGGGCGGACCTCGAATCATACTGCCCATGTGACCTGTCCACGGCATGGGCGGCGCTTGTGCAATTCCACGCCCACGTCCCACAGCCCTTCGCCATTCACCCCTTCTACACGAGCCGCGACTCGAGTCTCTACGCACACAACGACCCGTATAGCTGGTACCTGTGGCTGCGGGGCAACAGCTTCTTCTGGCCCTGGCGACGCACGAATATAAACGAGCTGAGCGACGACGAATTTATGTCTCTTCATGTTGCCGGATACTGGGATGCATTTATGCCTCGCATGGCCGGGCGGAGGGACGTTGGTGGGAGAGAGGTGAGGCGGCAGCGCGGCGTTGCCCTGTCAAGGGGGATGAAGCGGATGATCGAGGAAGAGTGTGGCCGGTATCCTCCGAGGAAGGGGGATGATTTGGGGAGGGAGGACTGCTTTGACATGTATGAGGACATGTGATGCGTTGGTGGGGAAGTGGGTGGAGATGGGTGTATAGTACAAGTTACGTCGTGGCATAGTCTGCCGCGGAGTTGGTGAGATTTGATTGGGTGTCTAAGCCCACGAGGGGTTTCATGATGCAATCTAGAATAGCAGCAAATGATGCAGGAACCACTGAATGATAAGTTTAGACATGTTATTTTATTTCATTTTGTTTCCTTTTCTTTCGTTCCGGTGTCGAGGTCGGTCGGTACAAAGGGTAGAAGATGCACGTCAAACTGCCAAGCTATCGAGCAAACATGCTCGACACAGCATATTTGCCCACGCCACACTCCCATCTTCAGTTCCCCTCCATACATCTAGCCCGACTCCACTCATCCTGCTCATCTCCATTGCTCCAGCTTATCTCCATCCATCCAACCCAAACCTTCCGCGCAAAGCAACCTACCATGACGTCCCCCTCGTCTTTACAAGCCATCCTCACCGTCCTCGCCCTGACAGCAATCTACATTTTTTTGACATAACCCACTATCAAAACAACACCTTCACGCTACGCGCCGCACGGACAGCACTCCTCCGCCTCATTGGCATCCCCTGGCTCCCTATCCTCGTGCTCGAGCCGTTAGGCGCCGCAGTCGCGCATCGCAAGGTGTTGGGCGTTGTGGTGGTGTGTATATGGAGCGTAGCGGTGGCGGGCGCGCTGGTGTGGATTCCGCGCACGGTGGACTGGGATCTCGGTTTCGATTCGGAAGAGGTGGGAGTTGAGCCGGTGAAGACGACGACAACGACGACGATGACGACGATGATGACGATGAAGACAGCGATGTGGGTGCCCGAGAGGGAGGACCTGAGTTCTGTGGTAGGGACGGTGGTGCAGATGAGTGCGCCTGTGACGTCGGCGGAGGGGTGGTCGAATGATGGCGAGGACGAGGAGGGACGCTTGAATGACGGGGCTGACGGAGGTTGAGTGTTCGAGCCTTTGTGGGAACGTGATGGGGGAGAACGAAAAGGATTGTAGTCTTGAGTCTTTGCGGGAACGTGGTGTGGTTGTAGTGGAAGATGTGAGTGCTGTCTTGTGGCACATTTGACGGATGGTCGATGTGGGGGATAGCGATAGCGAGAAGGGCTGTTGAGACATACATGCAGCTCTGGGTGTCTTCTCGTTTGGCATTTCCCCTGTATGTATCTCTTCGTTCAGCATATCTTTGGATAGCCCAATTCATTATGTGTGTGCAGCTGTTCCATTATGCATTCATGGTTTTAGTGATGCTCATATTCACAGTACTTGACGCGTTGAGGTCCAGCTGTGGAGTGCGGTGCGTGTTCATGATCGAGTCACCAAACCATCTCCTCGGACGCTCTTCACTCGACTATGCACTTGCTGCACTAAACTCGGCACACACAGCAGGGCGTAGGAGATACTGATGTGTGATTCCTCATCTGGCTGCTGTGGCGCACGACGGATTTTGCGTGTTCGTCGCGATTGTTCGGAGGTGAATTGCTTCGGCGGCAGCAGGGTAGTCACATCGAGTGAGCTGGTGGAGCTGATGCGTTACACACTAGATTGTGTACATGTACACTACAACTATTGTTCCTTGCCGTGCAACTTCACAATGCGAGAAAATGCACAGAAAAGAGGGTGCACATGTAGGTAGTGATGCAATAGAAAGTGGGTTGACGATAGGCGCGTGAGTGGTTTGGCGAGGCAACACGCGGGGCATCTGCGTCAAGCTGACAAATGCTGCACTAATCACTTGGTGAGCTCGATCGCGAACTCAACAACCAACACAGATATCTCCGCTATGCTCTGCGCAAGCTCACTTTCGCTGCGTTCTGTAGACCTATCCAGCATATGTTGCCTAAACACCCTCAAGTAACTCGGCGTCAACGGTGCAGTCCCCGCATGCCATGAACACACCTCGCCACTCTGTTCGGACTCGCAACGGGCCGAGTCCTATCAACGCCCGTGATCGAGTCGCAACGTAGAAAATTGTGAGGGAGACATGTCCAGCCTGTATCCACATAAGCGCATTTTACAGCATGAGACTTCTTAGGTCAACCTCGGACATGTTCAACGCACCCAAGGATCTACCCTCTTCTCTATATCTCACCAGCGCTGTACTTACTTTGGTACGAATTGCGTTCTGCGCATCCTTGAGTAGAGGCTTGATAATCCTTCTTACGTCATCTTTTCCAACCATGTCGCTCCGCATACAGGGATCCTTCAGAACAGGATACCTGACAGTTACGCCATAGATAATGCCTGCAATTACAAAGGGCGACAGCGGTTCCGCAAGTGTTTCGGCGCATTGAAGACACTTCTTTCCGTTGTATTTAGGAGTTTATGAGTTGACATGTTTCTGTAAGCCGCTCACCTGCACACATTATATTTAATACACTTCGTACGACGCATGAATTAAAAAGAGATAATTGTGCAGCTCAGCCGCATTAATCGTTCGTTCTGCTTATCTCGGCCAACAGCAATATGCCAAGCCCTCTCACACCCCCAGAACTCTCCAACAAAACAGAACTCGACGCTGAGAAAATCCAACACTTTAGATTATATTATCTGAGTAGAGCACTGATTATGACTTTTAGGCTATTCTTACTGCATGACATTTAACGATAACATGAAGTTTACTATTAGAATTTGTATGTTGTCGCTATAATCAACAGGTTGGTTACTTGAGTTTATGTGCCTGTAGGACGTAGGGATGCATTATTAGCGTTATGCGCGCGGCTGCGCCAAAAAGGCGCGAATACCCTGTGTAGAGAAACGCGGGTGGCTTGCGGCTTCCACCGCCAACCTGTTTCCTCTTTATTAAGCTTAACCCCCTCTTTGTTAATCATTAATTCCTCTTCTTCTGCCAATTACCTCTTTCTTCAATTTATAAAAGTTATGCAGGATGCAACAGCATTTTAACTCCAATGAGACTGTTTATTCAAGTGGGCATTACCATGAACAACATGAACACCACGCTACGGATGGGGTTCATGTACGCATCGCATCCCCAACACCCGCGCTCTCTTCCACCTGACATATCAACCTCACCTTACCTTCTTTAACAGATCGCTCCCCTGACCGCTCTCTTCTTCCACTCAAATTTCATCCGATTCCGCACGACTGTCTTCCGCCCGATTCGCACACTACAAACCAGGTTGGTTTCGTATATAAGAACGTAACGACACGCCGCAATACAAAAGGAGGCCAGGCTTGGCATTGCCGTAAACGATCGTGGTGCATTGTGCTCAGTCAGTTTTGGGAATAGTGGGTTGATGAGAAGAGATGGTAAGGCGTAGACTTGGGGTAAACGACAGTAATGAAGATGATGCAAGATACCAAAGAGCATAAAAGTTACATGGATCAAACTACATCGTCACAAGGAAGCTCGGGTCGAATGCGCTGTTGAACGGGTTTCATGCTCTTGCTCAACGCTTCTGCGGATTACAAGTTTGCAGTTATTAACCCACAAACAGCTTCGACCGAGACTGGCAGATATTACCTACAATTGGTCATCCAGCCGTCTATTCAGCCGTTCAGTCAGAGCAATGGGAGGTAGAATCCGGCCCCCGTCTGTGTTCGTGGTATCGAAACACCGGGCAACGCGCGCGTAGAAAGTCGAAGAGAGATCGAGGTTCTCGCAGAATATACGACTTCGATCGACTTCAAATGCAAGAGGTCAGTCGTATCTGTCTAACGTCCGGATGACTGGGGCAGACTTGCTGAACTGTGTAATAGGGGCCTTTATAACTCCCGACGCATGTTTATGCTCTGGAACCAAGCACGCATAGCCTGCAAACGAGTATACTACGAAAAGATCTTGCGCAACGGCCAGTTTGAGCAGGCGTTCCGAGTGCTCTCTGGTCAGCACGGAAATACCATCAACGATCCTGCGCTCTCCTGTATAGGTTCAACTGTATACCGTCTCACGTTTGTCACGGCAGGTACGGTAGGCGGCGTCCGTTCATGTGGAAGGAGAGGTGATAGCAGCATAAACATCTTACGTAAGACAGGATCTGGGCCGTCGGTCGTCTTTGCGAGGTGTCGATCTCGAGATGACCCAGCAGTGTTTTCGCTCGCCACGATTATCCATTGAAAGTCATCGTTCTCCCCACCCCATGACTGTAGTCAGGTGCTACGATCCACCTTCTTTCCCTAACACACTGTAACTCTGTACACCAAGAACATTGACCAGTTAGTATAAAAGTGCAGGTTCTAGCACATACTACTCAAACTATCTAGAAGCTGTAGAAGCTTGCTACGACCTCGCAGCCATCGCCGTAAACTTTTCCTTTTACCTACTTTGACATTTCCTTGCATTCTCTGCACTAGTATGACATGAACCACTATATAAACCTGGTGAACATATGTGCTGTTAGTACCAATGATTATTACCTTAGACATCTCCCCCAACTATGCGGAATTTGCTACCACTTCTAGTCTACTCGTTCTCACGTCCCCGCACCTTCCCAAAACGACAAGTATTGCTATGTTTATATTCATGCCATCAATGAGTAATTTCAAAGACATCAATCATGGAGTTTACTATGACCTCCTATTCGCCCTTTGCCCTTTCTGAGGTTTCTGTAGTTTTCATTCTCTCCGGTCTGCACAATGCGCACGAGAACACCTGTTAGAAGCTATTCAACTCCTTTCTTTTTCCATTTCATCGAAACTCCCCAACAGGCGATGCGTACTAAAACTCAGAATGAAGATCCATGTACCGCCCATGCGAGAGGGACAGAATGTTTGCTTCCAACGAGATCTACGTTGATACGTGTCCTGCGCCTTGTTCTTCTGTTTCATCACGCCTTCATGATAGGAACAGTTGTCATGAGCTGTTGCACGGGCTATTGCTTCACGATGGGACTAGCCAAATGTTGAGTATTGATGATTGGGTCATCTCCGCGTTGTCAAGATGTTTGGAACATTCAGAATAGTCGGCTGAACGGACTGGGAAGTCACTAAGCTTGTGGTCACAGGGTAGCGATACGAAGCAGCAGGTGATAAGGCCAAGCAACGAAGGTTGAATCGTTGGCTGGATGGGGAGGCAAAGGAAGGAGTTCACCAGGATGTTTGTCTTAATAGGGTTTTACTTCACCAGACGGTTCGGGTCGCAATGAAGACTGTCACTGAGCAATATGGCTAATTGACATCTCAAGATTATATCGCATTGTCCAGATCGAGAGGTTCCAATTCATGTTATCTATCTGAATAGGCACTGGATGCAGTACTGTCGATTGGCGTATTCTCTAAGAAGATGAAGTGCTCGGGGAGTCGAGCCTATATTGAGCTTAAGCTGGAAGAGACAGTGTTGATAGAAGAATCGTCAGTGACTGATCTTGGATGGAACACAAGATCGGCTCGCAATGCAAGACGGCGCTGTCTTCCTGCATCAGTCTTGACCTCGCCTAAAGGACAATCAGGTGATTGAGTTCACAGGTTCAGATGGCTGCAAAATTTTTATTTATTCACAGCTGGGGACACGCATCTATCAACCAGCAAGCGCAGGCGTAGTTCTAAGCACCGAGACGTAGGTGTCCTGACCTTTTGAAAATGACGCTAGTGGGAAACGAGCTAGCGGGATAAGGCAATGGGCTGAGAGATTGTCAGGGGTTTCGTGTACGTAGGTACTATGTATCGTTTTGTGATTTGGTGTGAGTGTTGGCTGATCCTCGGGGGGTTAGAAGCGGGAATGCAGTGGAAGCATAGCGTCGCATGATCACAACGTAACTAACATGAGAATGCTCAAATCGAGTAACCAGATAAAGGGGGATTCCCAGTCTTGACTATTATCTAGAGCGCCAGTGGTTCGGCGGTATGTGTGTGTGGTTATAAGGCTCCATAGAAGTGCAAGTCACTGGCTTACAACTAGACGAGAAATAGTAAATTAAGAAAGTTTCTTCTTAGCGCGATGAGGCTACTGTAGCAGGACATGAGTAATGGGGACAAAGAAGAATACTTCATTCCTGACTATATGAGCATTGCGAAAGAAGATGACTGTTACGTTGCAATGTGAGGGCGCGACGACATACAGGTCGGGATGCAGAGAGTAAGGGCAACGACAAAAGCCGTGGCGACATCGACAACGCGTACATAATGAAACCAAGGGTAAGAGATAGAAGAGCGGGATACACCGTAAATATAAGGGATCAATACACAAGGGGAGAAAGTGCCAGATCACAATGCAGTCGGCGGCAGTAAGGAAATGTACTGGGGTGCCGGTCAGCCTGCGAAATTCGTGCAGGCTGGGTTTAGCCACAAGGTTTTGATTTGATTCCTTCGTGTCATCTCGCGTTGCCAAATCCTTTGAGGCGAAGATCACCCGATAGCGTGATGCTGATATCATGATGCACCATGCCCTTGCCCCATGCGCCGGATGCATAAGATGACGATAGAAAGGGCTTGAGTTCGCGGCACATGAGATGAGGTCATGGCCTTGTTTCCATAGGTACAACTGGGGCACACGATGATTTTCCCAATCATGTGGTGTGGGCCCGAGCACTTAGTATGCCGAATGTCATGTAGTTGGGAAAATCATACTATGCCCCGGTAGTAGGCTAGAGGCACTGGAAGAAATATACTGGGAATATGCCACAACCTCAACAGGCTGTTGAGGCATATGATCGTGACGTCGGGCCAGTTCATAGTAGAATGGAGAATGTCAGGAGTCGGATGTCAGCGTGAAAGGACTGAGATCGTAGCCATAATTCAGTAAGCAAGGGGATGGAGCTTGGTGCGTAGGCTAAGACCTCAACGAATGGTTGATGCATTGGGTGATTGGTTGAGTCACGCCCCAAGTTGCTAGAGAATGCATAGATATTTATGAACCAATCAGGTCGAGATGGTCCCCAAGTTGGGATGCAATCTCCACACCGATCTTGCAGCTGCCCCACCCTGTGGGGCTACCACCTAATTCCGATCACTACCTGCAACCTACGCCGCATTGAACTAATCATCACTTCAAATACACTGACTACTTGCATCTCTGTCAAGAGAAACGCACTACAAGCTTCCAACCTCATCCTCCCCGCCGCGACGACACGATGGCTGACGGCACGACGGCCACGACTACCTATATTGTCGCTGCGTCATTACTTTATATACTGCAAGTTAATAGACAGCTTTCTGTCGAAAACGGATAGGCGCTGTTGGAGCGATAAGCGCGTTTGGTACTGGCGAGGGTCACCAACCACGGCGCCGCCACGGCATTTCTGGCGTCGCCTGGCTGGGTGTCTGACAATTCAGTGATGCGTAGCTTATCTAGCAATGCACGCCGAACTGCTCTGAACTATCCGCCACGACTTCACGGGAAGAGACTCACGTACAATTGACCGTGCCATCTCAATTCGAATACCGGGCAGCGGCTAGATTCGCAAGGTAGAGGGTGCGCTGCCATATCAGGCCACGAAAATGGGATAACATCCCACAATGGAAAACGACTATTGAAGAAGGTGTGGCGATTGCTCAAAACGTCATACCTGATTGAGAGGTTCTATACTCGCTAGTCTGCGCGCGCTCGAATGTTCGTGACGAAATCCATATCCCCCAATGTATATTAACTTGGTGTTTACCCTTCGGTCAATCGTATACAGAGACATCCTGGTATCGAACAAGCTACCCGGCTGCAGATGCATCTTGATCTGGCCGTTATTCTTCGCTTCCAAAAGCCCTCAGCCAAAGTTGCCCTAGTTCTTGCCGCTCATCACAAGCCAAGCGATGGCGGGCCGTCGTAACGGCTCAACAAGAACTACAAGATTGATGACGTTCTCCGGACGCCGCAAATTCTCCATCACATAATGACCCACGACGAAGACAGGAACAACTATGACGATGGGTATACTAATGACAGTACTGGAGAAACCCCCATTGGCAGCGACGACGAAGAACTGATTAATACTAACACAGAATGAAGTGACGCCATCACCTCTCTGTCCGAGAGTCCAGTACCACTTTCGATCCTATTGGTCCCGCTGTTCCAACCCCGTTCGTAACTCCTCGCAACGTCCGATTTAACGCATTGGACTGCCATGGACACCCTGACAAAGGTCTTTGTCGCCTGCGCCAGAACCGTTTCAAGATGGGTGAAGAATATATACAGGTGCCTTGTGCTTACCCTACGGCTTGTGCGCGTATCCATCACAGAAGTCAAGCATGATATCTTCCAAGAAGTGGTGATGAAAAGTGCGAGTGAGATGCATCGTCGGTCCGGGGATAGAGAGATGGGTATTGGCGTCGCGAGTCATGACTATAGCGGCCACGTCGATGGCAGTATGGAAACAGGGGATTACTACAATACAGAGTTCTAGCGTGGTATAACTTGCTAAGAAGCAGAGCGAGCCAGTTGGGTTTGGTGGGACTATAGATGTGAGCGTAAGTTCGGCCAACAGGAAAGACAAGAGATCAGGGCTTGCAAATGCAGCACTGTATAAGTTGTGGCCTAACAGAAATGAGGTTTTAATGACCGCCTACACTTGCGAGCGCCCTGGACTATTCTAACTTCTTTCACCTCCACGGCTCGACATTGTCTTCATATCAGCCGATCTTCGCCATCTGTGGAAATTGAACGCAGGTGAAGCATCTCTCCGTCTTCTGATTTGATTTCTTCCCTCAATGGAGTGATTCGCTTTGTGACGAAGTACGAGTTGTAATGACTATGAATGCTGTATTATCAATACTACCGCCATAGTCGAGGCGATCATATCCCAGATCATGTCAACCATCGTGACCAGGAACAGGTCGCTGAATTTAGAGAGGTGTGAGCACCCCAGAGATCGAAAGCACAATCAAATGCTCAGAGTTGGGGTCCGTCGAGGACCTCAAGTAGTTCATGCACATTTTTGCCGACACAGTTATTGACGATAACTCGGTCGAGAACTTTTCAGAGCTTAACTGTGAACAGGTTTGGCAGTTGGCGCCGGGACTGAGAACGAAGATGAAAGTGTTGATTAGTAGGGCTGCAATTTTCTTATTCTTGAAAGCAAGAGATCTTGAATGCGAGAATTTAGTTGCACAATAACTGGATCCACAACTCAACCGAAGCGTGGATCGTGCTTTGATCTTCAATGGAATGCTCGTTGAAGCCCAAGGTTGGCCTTGGCATGATAGTAGTCATTGTCACTGCAAGATAGAATCCAATGATCAGTAATTGCTAGAATGAGATTAGACTCGTCCTGAGCATGAAGTCTGCGAACATGATCGACTTCGTATATAAGATGTTATTATAGTCACGTCTCTTGGCGCCTAGACGTTCGTGGGTCAGGTTTATGTATTGTATATGCGGTAATATGTAAGGCAGACTAACACCTTTCATGATTGCAAGATCTCGATTCAGTGACTGGAAGTGAGGCGGCCGTTTTCGAAGCTATAATAGATGGCCCCTTTGACTTCCACATTACATGGCGTGGGAAGGAGGATGAGATGTACCAAATATTTGATTGATATTAACGATGTCTATGCACTATGAAAATAAGCCAATAATCTATATCTGAAACTCAAACAAAGGTTTGACTATGATGGAATGAACGAGTGTTGGTAAAAGGACAATACAGCAAAAGACGAGGTATTGAACAACCGCCGCGCAACCCTTGATCCAGCCTACTTATTCTGCTTAGACTTGACTGGCAGTCTATCCGCGAAATCCCACAGGTCCTACTATGTCGTTAGCAAAGGTTGGCCTCCTCTTGTGTTGCACAATACATACCCTTTCAATCTGCGTCATCTTGTCTGTGCCTATGGGTTGTTCACCGAACCTCTTCTGCTTCATCAACCGCGCCAGTCCACCTGCATATGTTCTTACCAGAGCGGTATCTGATTTGTTATATCTAATCGCTGCGTTTCTCATCTGTTCCTGCATAATTTTCACCCAGTCTCCTATCCTAGTCCACTGCATCCCATGACCGCCAAACATGAGGGTTGGCGTGTTTTGGAGACGGAACAAAACGTACGTAGTGCCGGCTTCGAGGTATATAGTTTGACCAGGGTGTAGAACGAGGTAACGCCATGGACTTTCCTCTGTGAAGGTAGTGCAAAGCCATCCGAAGCCTACAAGGCCCTGCTGTACGGTCAGCCAGGTAGACCGGCCGAAAATATCGATGTGTGGAAGGGCTAAGGCGCCACCCTGCGCAAGGTGCAGGAATTCAGTATCGTTTCTGAAATGGTCGTTTGCAGAGCTAGGAATAGGGGATAAGCTTCGCGGGTTCTGAGGGTTGAGGACAGAGTCCCGTAGTTGTGCGAGGAGCATGTCGTTCGAGTTGGTGAGGAAGTGAGGCAATGTGGCTCGCGGGAGTGGGTTGCGTATTTCAAGCGCGTTGAATTCTCTCAATCTTCCAATGCGCCGTTTAGGGGCTATGAACAGCTGCTCAACGAAAGCCAGCGAAAGCGGGGTTAACAGTGGGGATGTACGTAGACGCGAAGGATCTTCTACGTCAACGTTTTGGTAGAGCGGGTTGAGATAATCAAACAGCAGGGCAATAGGTGTTTTGTAAGTGGGCCAAGTAAAGGACTGTTGGTTTGACGTTATGACTGGACCATCATTGAACATCTTGACGAACCCGTGGGTTTTCACAAATTCGAGGTCGAGAAAGTGACATTCCAAATCAGATGGCTGAGTGGCAGAGGTGAGCAACTTGATCATTGAGGTGGTTTTGTGAAAGTCCCACGTCCCTTCCTCGGGAGTCTTGGCACGCAGTTGGAGGAGTACTGTGAATAGGAAGAGGCCATCGAAGTCGGGATTATGAACCGGATCGGCGGATTTTGAGTCGAGAGGACGAGCAAAGATCCGATTGTTGCCTCCGAATACATATGGCAGGTCGAGATGGGGATCGGATAGCACTTTACGTCGTCGCTTGCGCGAAGTCGACGAGGAATTGAGAGAGGAAGATGCAAACTCATACTGCTCCTCTGCTAGCTCTTCCTGTTGACGGTGCGCAGTTACCATCCCTGTTATGAATTTTGCGTAGTGCACAAGATGCACTGCACACATCTTGAATGGTGGGTTGTAGTCTTTGGCTTTTTTATTGGTATTTGATCGATCGCTTCCTCTGGCGAGCAGTAACTCCAATGCGTCAGGGGCACACGAACAGCCCTCCACCCTCACGGGAGGTTGAGACACAGACGATGACACGCGCTCCGCGCTGGGCAACGATGTCATGGGGCTGTTTAGCAACGCTGTAGGGATGGAAACAGCGTGAACAGAGGATGGATGTAACGTTGCCGACTCTCCTGGGGCGTTGATAGAAACCGTTGGCGGAGATTGGGCGGCCCGCGGACTAGGTGTGTTAGGAATAGGCTCGGGGGAATCAAAAGACGTGGCTATATGCGGTGTAGACATCTTCGGTCAATAACCAGACATGTGGAACACGTGCAATCCAGAAGATAGTGAGATGAATTAGGATAAACTGATGAAATAGAAACCCGTTAGCAAGTAAGTTCTAGGGAGGGTAAACGGATTGAATTGTGATCTTACTCACCTTCTGGGTAGGAGATTGAATTGGGCGAAAATGGGCTGGTGTGTTGGATTCCTTCGTGGTAGGACGGTGCGATGATTACACATGAAATCCAGACACGAATCTGATGGGACTGCAATGACCCAATGTGAGAGGGTGAATATATAGAAGGGAGCGTAGAACAAGTCAATATGGACTAGCAGCACAGAGAGGTCTCAGAGTGAAGGCTTAAAAAGGATACAGGCATAGGCATCAGCAGTCACGATCGAGACCCGTTGGTTCACCATATGTTTGGCTCTTGCAGCGACCCCTGATATCGCGTTGGCATCCAAGACACTATGACAAGCAACAAGCCGTTCTTCTGTGGGTAATCAATGTCACCTACGCGTCGCGACCAATACAGCGCTTTCAGCATGCCAAAGTCTCCCATCCACAACTTGCATCGCATCGTAATTCGCTTCTACTCCCTGCGTGGGTGTTGTGCGAGTTAGTTTGAGCGCTTATCTGCAGCGGTCAATACAAGACTTGGAAAATGACTGTCGTGCGATCATGCGACAGGCCGGATTTGGTATGCGACGAGAATTCTCTTTCTTGGCGGCGCGATGAGCCAGTTTGGCCTGTGTGTGATGTAGAACACGACGGGGTGGCTGCATCTTAGACCGGGTATGTGGGGCTCATCTAGGTAACGGCTCGGTTAGGACACCCCCACCGTCGCCGTCGCCTACCCTTGTCTGCACAGGGTAATCAGACTGAACACCGTAGACATCTGATCAGAGCAGCCTTTCCTACGTCTATGCTGCCGAGCAAACTGCAGAGGCGAACTTATGTAGCTTCAAACGTAGGGGTAGTAATTGAGCAACACTTCAACTATATTTGTAAAGCAGTGTCAGGCGAAAGCAGAGTTTATGACCAAAGCATCGCTAAGGTGCCTGTCGATGCACGTACCTCTGCATACCGGTAGTCCTGCACCCACGTCCCTAACACCAGGATCAGCATCCTGACGGCTTCCAGTTTCCAGCTTCCACTAAATAATTCTGGCCCCACTTATATACGTACCAGTCAGCTCATCTGGCGTCATCCTGCCGCTGAGTGAAACCGCCGCCGCAGCATTCTCATTGGATATCGCGCCACCAGAAAGCGCCGCCAAAAAGCAAATTACGGCTGCGCGCAAGTACCCGCTGCAAGGACATGGCCGACAGCTTAAACACGGACAAGGAAGACTGTTGGCATGGCGGGGCTAAACAACCTGAACTAGTCTTACATAGCCGTGCGTGCATATAGCAAGTAAAGGCCAAGACAGATCACGAACCAGTTACAGATAGACAGAATACCCGCATTAGGACAGCTACCTATTTTGGGGCAGTGCTGACCTCCCCCCATATTGTCCCTATTGTAACGAAGCTCCCAAGAATTGGTTCTACGGTGCGCAAAAACAAATCGCGTCTTGGTTGAAGAACGGATGTTTCAGGCCATATAGCCACTTACTCATCACGCCGGCCCTGTGCTGAGCTGAAGATACGATAAAAAGCTTTAGCTACACCCTGAAAGGCGGTACTTTCATCGACTTATACTAGGTCTTGCGGTGATCATCCTCATGGTGTGAAGTGAGCACAACGGGTGTAGACAACGAATATCATGTATTGAGGAGACTCGGACTATGGCTCAGTGATGTTGTATCTCAATTATGTAATGCCACTTCAAACTTGAGCTATCCCATGCTCCGATAAGATAAACCCGCGGATTTTACAGCCAATAGAATCGCGTAGCACAAGTTTAAGGAACATCAAAATCAAACCTCTACACCAAAAAAACTCCAACGCAAGGCTTAACACGGACTTGACAACGCGATTTAACTGGCCAATAGCCAGGCCAAAATCCGCAGCTTTATCTCACCGGAGCATGGGATAGCAATTAATGCTTTGTTCTTGTAGATATGCATGCTCTTTAATTACATCAGATTTGACAGCGGCCTGGGTAGGTTTTAAGCCTAACGCTTTTATGCGTCTAGGATGCGGAGTCTATAGTACAGTTAGACAATTCTATTTCAGACTTGGTTCTTAGTTTCTGGAGCTTAAAAGATGAAGTCGTTGTCTTAAGTGTTATAAACAGAATCCTGGGAATCTCATAGTGACAATGGTGTGATTAAACACTCAATTTGGTCTTAATGCTTCATCGTTCTGAGAATCCCTCTAAACAGTAAGTGCATCAACTTGTCTGCATGTCCAGGACACCATTGTTATGCGCTGAGTTGATACATCAAGATGCCATACATCTGGATTCTATCTATCACACTACATCCCCTCAAAATACTCTACTGGAGGACTTTACTCTACAGCTTTCGCTTGGGATCTAGTCGATTTCTTCCAGGCGATGTGAATGAGAATTCTTTCAGGTCACATCATCTGTTACCCGAACATGGAAATAGCAGGTTGTGTACCTGCTTCGAAGAATTTGAGATGCAATGTTGCACATGTTTGCAGAATTGCGACTTCCCTGACAAGCAAGAAATGCTAGAGTGCTAGAGTATAGTAAGCGTCCAAGCACCTCACCTTTGTCAAAGAGAAAGAACTGCTCAAATTTCCCCCGTCATCTATTGCCCCACAATCATCACGACTATGGAGTCTATTCCCACCGAGACCAAGCGATGGATCATCAACAAATTGAACAAGGAGAAAGGCTTGCCGTTCAAAGAACTCGCGACGCCTCCCGGAGGCCACAGCTTCTGGGACGAATGGGCAACGGAGATTGACGAGTCGCTGCCCGAGGGCCTCATCTCGCGACTTCTTGACGCTACACCGCCGGACATAGCGTCCTCATCCTCACCACTATCTCCGCCGCCGCCACCCGCATCATCTCCCACCGCGCAAACAAACACGAAGAAGCGCAAGAAGAAGAAGAAGTCCAAGAGTCAGAAGAAAAAGGAGATGAAGCAGCGTGCCCTCCCCGCCAAAGCAACACGGGCCGCAGTAGCGCGCGGTGAAGTGTCACCACTTCAATTGAAAAAGTTTTTTGGCAATGATGGACGGGCAGAAGAGAGGATTGAGAGAATCGGAGAGGATTTGGCGCGCGGTCGCGAGCGGCCGGTGTTTGAGCGCTGAGGGATTTTCGAGGCGGTCGAGTCGAGAGATCGATCCCTTTTTGCAGTGTCTGGGCCCTGTAACTGGGCTGGGATTTGATAGGCCGTTGACGAAGTCACTGATTGAAAACACAATGCGATCCTTCTCTTTCGCGCATAAAGAGTGATATGCTTAGCACTGGCGTTCTTAGAAATTTCTGGTGATGACTATGGATGTGCGTGGGCATGCAGCGCCTCAATTTTCAGTCAAATATCCTAGGCTTCGTTTCAGACCCCTCGGGCCAGATCGGATGGCGCTGGACATCATTGGAAAAGGTCAGGACACCCGTCGAAGTGAACACTCTTCTTTTCAGGGAAGTCTCAGGAGACTGGTTGAGAGAATATTGCCCGCGAAGATTGCTCGAACCAGTGGTAAAGATGTAGAAGATGCCGCCGGGACGGCTTGCTGTGGACGGTAGGCATTATTGACGAGCGATTGGGCGGGAAGCAATACGATACGGAAATCGGCACGGGCTGTTGGAAGAAGCTATGTCCTCATCAGCCAAAAATGATGTTGAAGGAAATTGATGGATGATAGAAAGGAGCCGCTGGGGACACAACTTCGTGAACACAAGCTAGCTGCGTTCAACCCTCAAGGACCAACACATTCGACTTGATTGTGACCTCGTATGGTTGCATATCGGTGCTGGTTATAAATGGTGATAAGTAGCCCAAGTCGTGCAATGATGCTGTGCTGAATTGGAGCACCGAGAAGTCTGTTATTTCTGCATCTTTTCAACGTGAGCATTCTCCTCCAGTAGCCGTAGAACATGTGCGGAACGCTTTTCGTTCATAATGAGCCCTTTGCGAAGATATGTATGGAAAGTCGAGACGACAAGTACGGGACATGGAAAATCGGGCGGCCGGTGAGAGCAAGCATTGAGTTAATTCAGGGGTGTTGGAAAGCCCGGTTCTACGGCAATCTGACAAGTGTGTAGACCAATAAGAAATTGCATTTATTTAGAGTGACACCCTTTTTGGAGGATCACAGGGTCGACCAATGCATAAACTCTCGATGCGCTCGGTGATGCAGTGCATGCAATGAGGGCTTCGCCGACGTTGACGATCAATCCCCCGGACCAGATCAATATGGCCAAGCTCCTCCTCCTTCCGTATGCTGCCAGTATGCCGAGGCTGATTACATTGCGACTGCTGTGAATCCCCCCAGGCGTGGTATATCCCTCGGTGGTTGGGATTGGATCGACCCTGGTGCCCTTCCCAATGCTGACATGGCTGGAGAATAGCATCGACGGGAGTTGTACGAAGGACGGCATGGCGACAACATACCAACGCACTCACAGCGCGAATGAGAGGAGTACTAAGCAACGCGAAACAGAGTCAGCAAGGTATCCAGGCATGAGCTTTTGGGTCTCAAGATGACTTACTACTTCGACGAGATGCTATGCTTCCAGCCATTGACGTTGCGGATTGCTTCCATCACCGCGCCCTACAACAAGAACGCAGCGAAACCAAACCCGACATGGTGTTGTGTCAAGACGTCGGATGCGCTGATGTATTCGTGCCTGCTCGGCAGCTTGACGCGTTCGTGTGCTGACCTGGCAGCATGACGTGTGTAATTGATGTTGGAACGCGATGCTTGTAGATGGTGGTATGACTTTACGACTATGCTCAACCTGCGGTATAGCCGTGTTGTTGCCGTGCACGGGATGGACGCGCCATGACAAGATCGTGGTGCGAGTCGTTGTGGGGTTGTTGGCGAGTCTGCGCCTGAACATGTGAGTTTCGTGATGGTGGGGCGGGCTAACCACATTCACCCCGTCACCTGGAATTCCAACCCCATTCATCCATCGCAAGAAAAGGACGAGACAGCCTCAGGATATATATGGAGTCCAGTCTAGTTTTACCCATGGGTTCCTTCTCGTAGTCGTAGAACAACTGTGCACCAAGATGAACACAGGCAAAAAGGTTAGGACACCCCCAAAACGGCAGCGAAATGTTGACAAAGTCCCCATCCCTGCCTCCCGCCACAAGATACCCGCTCCATCCTACGCTCCAATCATGGTTCAGAGTCCAGGACCACACCTGAGCAAACGCGCTGTGATGTGTTTTCACTATGGGTATTCTCGTAGCAGAAGACAGGAGCATTACGCCATTACGCGGACAACCCTGCTCCCCCGCGACAAAGTCCAGAACGTCGGGGGGCCCTCAATAGGCGAGAGAATTCGATTTGGGAGTCCTTTCCGAGGGTTGAACTACCGCGTCTAGATGTCATCCCGAAGGACGAGCACCAACTCTGCCGTCAGCCAACTGCATTGAGTTTGATGGAAGTGAGCCGAGTATTGCAGAATATGAAGAGGCAGAACAGTAATTAGCTGTTGAACTTGCATTCTGTTATTCGTTTTTGCCTCTGTGCAAAGTGGAAAGTAGCCTGGGAGTTGTAAAGAAAGGGGAGCAGGAGCACGTTGCGGTGTCCTAACCAATGGCAATCCCGGCCGTTGCATCGTCCCTGCGCTGAAGTCCGCTTCCAATGACTGAGACGAGTGCTACAAAAAGATCAATTGTTTTTGATGATTGGGCTAACTTCGGAGTCTAGGTTAGCAGGAGTAGTTTACGTATCCATGGTTGATATGCCTGGTTATTCACAGAACGAAGCTTGAAACTTGAGTCATCACACGTTCGGCGAGATTCAGAACCTTCAGGAGGCAGGTCGTCAATTCTATAACAAGACCCATATCCGAAGCAATGCCAATACTGAACGCCATGTGCAGACTTTCTTGAGGAAGGGTGGTAGCAGAAGAGATTCGGACACCAAAATAAGTATAAGCCATGCCACTTCTTTTCGGGAATCAAGGAGGGCAGAACCCATACTCGATGTCTTGCGTGCAATTGTATTCCAAGTCCTGTCAGAATTGCGCTCTTCTACGTTTACTACATGTCCCACGCTATCAATGGTTCCAGGCCGACGATGGCGCCATCCAATCTGAGATTAGCGCGAAAGGGTGTTAGCACAGCTCGGCAATGGGTAAATCCGGCCGTGTGCAATGCGCCAAGCTTTGCGCATGAACACGCCGTCTCACACGACGGAGCTATTTGCACCCACCAGCCCTCCCTCAGCAATAGGCAGTCGCTTCCCCGCCTTGCACAACGCCGTCTTCACGCGCTGCTTATTCCTGCGCTTCTCCTTCATATTCTTCATTTTCTAGGACGCGCTTATCGCCAGCCGTATCACACGTGCTCATCCCCTGATGCAGAGAAGCGCTCCTTACAAAATTGCTCCAAGCCCACGCGTCTCTGGGTCCCTGCATGTCCCTGCACCTCTCCGTACGGCTGCAGAGTCCTCGATACCAGCAGACCTGCCCCTCTTGCCTTTCACACGCCATCTCCCCGATCGAGGCTGTCACGTCGCTCTTCACGACTATCGCCAAGATCGCGCGTCCCACACACAGTCACACGAGTCCAAGTCCAAGTCGACCCAAGAGGCACCACGAAGCGCCCGCGACACGCGCCCACGAACAAGCGCAAGCGATTGACAGGGCGGGAATTGCCTAGGCGTCCGTCGCGAGACAGGCTCATGCTCTACCAAGACGCTGCCTCTCATGGCTGGGCAGGTCAGGCACATGCACACAATCGCGCTCACGGCCTACGAACACGAGGACTCGCACCGTTGAGCAAGATCAAGACACAGTACAAGAATCAACCAAGCAACGGCCGTTTGCGAAGAATGTCAAGTCGACGCACCCTCGCATTCCGTGCATGTCATCACGAACTGCGTGCCACATCACACCATCGTGATAGCTCCATCGCCAAGAGCTCCACGTGCTTCTTCTGAGAGGCGCAGTCATTCTCCTCCTCTGGCATGCAATCGCTCATCTCCAATGGCCGTCAGCTCGCCCGCCTTGACGACCATGAGCAGCGCCGAGATTCGGCGTCGCCTATCTCCTCTTCCTGCCCAACGTGCAGCTCGACACGACTTCACAACGGCGCCCTCTCCTTGGACCTGTTCTCAATCCACGTACATCACAACACGTACATCACAATACGTACATCACGACGCGCCGTCGCCTCATCCTCCTCGTTCATGGGTCTGCCCTGCAGGATGCGACTTTGCCCACCGTAGCTCACAATGGCGATGAAGTCGTAAACACGAGCGACATCCTTCCTGCGCGTCGCAACGCTGTCATTCAGCCGAGAGAGGCTCGTCAAGCACACGTACAGGAGATGCAAACACAGAGCTCGTGGCTGTACAAGACGAGCCTTCTCGCTCGCCTTGATGCTGTCCCAGCCAGACCGGGTCGCGACCATCTCGACACGCCCATCTCCACGGTACCCACAGACCTGCCCAGACCAGCCTCGCATGCATCACGTCCACGAACACGGCGAGGGGCAAGCTTGCTGACGGGTGGACCAGACATACAAACCCTCTGCGCAACGAGCGTCTCGCACTCGTGCTTCCCCGTCGCCAGTTAGGTTGATTCGCCGCATGTCCATCGTCGCGCCTTCCAATCTGCTCTCTCCCCTCGTCAGGACGTGCTCTCGCCATCGAGCCATGACTTCAGTTGACGGCGCGGCGCCGCTCTGCAGTGCATTTACACCGCGCACGCCTGCATGGCTCTACCCAAGACCTCAGCCACGATCGCGGATACCATCTTCGTACACCCGCGCAGACATGTCGACACGTGCTGCAAGTCCTTGGGATACGCCTCTCACGCGTTGAGTTGCTGCTACCCGATCGAGCGAGATGCAAATGGCGTCGCTCACCTCATGCGCTGCGGATGGCTCGACATGATGGTGTCATTGGGCAACGCGTACAAGTCGCACGGTACGACGCCCTCTACGTCGTCATCGTGTCGCTCACTACCGCCCTTGCTCGTCAAGTCCTTGGGGCCGTTGTGTATATTTGCGCCACACGCTTGCTGACCAGACCGGCAGGATATACGATACCGAGCTCGCGGCTCTTCCTCGCAATCGTTGGAGCAGCCCAGCCAGGCTGTGTCGCTGCACGCACGACTGCTTCATCACACGTCTCGTTACGCCATGAATCGACCCACCCAGACCTGATGATAGCCGTCAACCCTACAGAGAAGGAGAGGACACACCGGAGTGATACGAATGGACGATGCTGCCCCGCTGGCAGTCATAGCGATACGATCATGGCGATACGATTCGGCGGTTCGGGAGAAGTGCTCTGCACGCCTGCATTCGACCCTTTCGGAACGACGCGGACCTGCTGACTGCACAATCAGGAAACACCGCGTTCAGCTGCCTACATACCGTCTCGTCGCACCCGTACCTTCCCATCGTCAGCCCGATCGAGTCCCGCAACACGACTGTCTCGACTCAGTCATCGCCGCGCACCAACCGACAACCCAAACTCAGATGCATACCCGTCAGTTACCTGCAGGTGATAAGCCTCCTCGCATACGTGAGCTGGCTGCTCTTCGAACAAGGGATGCATGTCTGCTAGTCAGACGGGCAAGACACTACACCGAGTGTGCGGCTCTGCAATATGAGCCTCGTCGCGCGTTGATACATTGGTGCTCCTCAATCGGATCGAGTCTCCGCCCAAGCAAACATGTCGACAAGGGTTGGAGGTTGTTCAGACGCGATCATCACGCGTCGAATTGATGACTGCTGACTGCTGACTGCTATTACAGATCACACCACGTTCCTTCACGACTGACCTCCTCGCACGCCCGCGTCGTTGCTGCCCCCGTCAAACCAATCCGTGCACGCACGACTCCTCCATCGGATACCGTCATGGCATCGTTGGAATAATGCCCTCGTGGGTGCTTTTCGAAGATGACATGGATTGCCGTTGGGAGGATCTCGGTGGAAAAGGCAAAGGGACGAGTGTGTGGGGCAAGGCGCTGGGGAGTTGAAGCAGGAATGGGGGTCATTTGACGAAATCGCGCGAGTGGTGGACAAAGAGAGGACACGAATAAAACTAGTAAATTGAAGCCATGCGTTAGGATAAGTCGCGCTCGTAAAGGCCTGGGTAAATCTCACTATGCTCTTGCACAGCCTGTCTACCCCATCTTGATAATCGGCAAAAACACCTTTTCAATCCCACGTCCTTCCTTGAACGTGGGAAACCTGAAGCGAACCCGGGTATAATGCTCGACGCCCCGATATCCATGGATACATCCTCTCTACACGCCCACTCACTCCTTCCCCCTCCCATTCTCACGTTTCTCACCCACAAACCGGGCAAAGCATTCCCACACATGCTCCCCTGCCCTCATCCGCGCCCGCGCGTCCTCCTCCTCGATCCGCCTCTCCTCCAGCTCGGCCTCCTGCGTCTCCAGCTCTCCCCTCTTCTCCTCCAGATCCGCCATCTGCTGTTTGAGCAGCTCCACACGCTCTTTGTACGCCACGTCCGAGTACGCCGTCTTGGCGACATGTAGATCTGGCAACTCCGCCGCGGCAGTCGCGTCCTGCAGCGCCTGTGCCTGCGCTTTGACTTGTGTCGCTGCGGCGACTGCGGCATCCGTGTTCTCCCGTGCGCGCCCGAGGATGAAGTTGATCTCCTTCAGCACCGTGGTGTATGAGGCTGCCACGTCGCGGTCGGTCTCGCCCAGCATGTCGAGCACGCCGGTGAAGAAGTCGGGGCTGGGGTTGTGCATGGGGTGCGTCGTGGGCGCGGAGGGGCTGCCGCGGCGCTGGCGCTTGGCCATTGGCTGGGATGTTGAGGCGGGGCGTGGGTGTGTGGGTGTGGCTGTGAGTTGCGATCTGGAGTTTGATTGGCGTGTGGTGGGCATGGACGATTCGCGGGAGGGGGGCTGCACTGGTGTGTGAGGCGGTGTTGATGGTAGGCGCGGGAATGTGAAGTGGCTGACGAGGCTGGTGTCTGGCAGGTTGAGGCTGGTGTCATGCGGGTCGCTGAAGAGGTCGGGGAGGTTGTTGGCGGCGCCGCGGGGACGTTCGGGAGAAGGGATGCTGACGACTTCCTCTTCTTCCTCTTCCTCTTCTTCCTCTTCCTCTTCTTCCTCCTCCTCCTCGTCTTCCCCTGCAGCCCTGTCGAGTGCCTCCCTCGCGGCCTCCAGGTCGACGCGCTGCACGGCGCGAACTCTTGGCGCGTTCGGATTCGGGTTCGGCTGGCCTGGGTTGCGCGGCACAGTCAGCAGCCGGGTGATGACGCGCTGAAAGTCGGCGAGAGAGTGGTTGTGGGCGATCAAGGCGAGAATCTCGAGCAGATTCTTCCCGGCGGCCGGGGGCAGCACAATGCCGTGGCTCGCAAGCCCTGTCGCGTCCGTCTGCCACGCCGAGCGGATGCGGCTCCACGCTACGACTTTTCGGCGCGCCGTGTCGTTTGGGCGGGGGGCGCGCATCGCATGGTTGAGTCAGAGTAAAGGTGGGGTACGCGTAGATGACGGGTGGGTGCGTGACGCGTGCGTGTAACCCCCATCATGGTTGGTTGTGCAGCTACGTCACGCCCTTGCCACGACTGTGCTTGAGCTACGCAGGGAAAGCATCGCGCATCGACTTCACAAAGCCTCCATTCTAATGTGCCTCAGTCACACCATATCTTCTTGGCGTCGTGTCCATTCGCGGGCTGCTGCTGATTTTCATCGCAATGTACTGGAAATCGAGATCTCACGGGACCTAGAGTACACAACTCCATAAACCATCCAAGTTTTCAAGTCACAGTGTTATCTTCCATCCTGATCGCTGCAAATGACAATGCGGGAGCGTGAATCGCTGGACAGCAGTAGTCGAGGATTTTGATGCTTCGGAAGATATGCCAAAGGTTAGGACACCACCTGCAACGTCGACACACGGAAGAATAGTCTCTGCCTGTGCACATGGTAGTCGATGAATGGTCGGTAATGCAGTGGCTTCGGGTGGCACTACACTCTTCATTGTGCACGATCTATGCTCAGAATGACTGTAGGCCATTGCACCTCTAGAGTATCAATTCACAACATCATTGTAGACTCAATGTGCCGGCACGAGTGGCACACAACTACCACATTGTGATATCTACCTCCGAGTATATCACTCGCTCTTCCCTCCAAGAACCCACAAGAACAACTACTATCGACTACAAACCAATCTCCAGCCCAAACAAGACATATTTTCAACTTCCCAAACCTCACGATACACAGACCGTTACAATGTCCTCACCACATCGCTGCCCGACGATCTGGTCCTTTCCCCGCGGCTCACCGCGTCAACCAGATAAGGAACACACGATACGTAACGATGAGCGAGATGCTGAGCATGTGCATGAGAAGGAAGGTGAGGACACCGACGCAAACCAGTTGCGGGATACGATGACAGCGGGGTTTGAGCGGTTGGACGTGGGATCGGTAGGTATTGAGGACCTACAGGGTCAAAATACCCAACTGGAGAAAGATAAGAACATGTGCTTGGAAGAAGGTGTTACATTCACGCCACTAATCGACCCTGCATGGCGCTACACTCGGAAGCCTGGTGGATTAGGATTATATTCCCGCATTGGGAAATCCCGTCAGGAGACACTGGAACAAGCTAACATGTTGGCAGCAGAGGTTGCGCCGTTCAAGGCCGAGATCACGCAGTTAGAGGCTAAGGTAGAGAAGCTGGAAGAGGAGAAAAAACACGATCAGGAGAAAGCGCTGGAACAAATTGACACGTTAACAGCAGAAGTTGCGCAGTCAAAGGCCGAGGTTGCGCAGTTAGAGGCTAAGGTGGAGGAGCTAGAAGAGGAGAAATTCTTCAAGCGGTGTACGCTGGAACATATTGAGACGTTGACAGCAGAAGTTGGGCAGTTAAAGGCCGAGAATGCCCAGTCGAAGGCTAAGGTGGAGAAGCTAGAAGAGGAGAAAAAACACGATCAGGAGAAGGCGCTGGAACAAACTTACACGTTGATAGCAGAGGTTGGGCAGTTAAAGGCTGAGAATGCGCAGTTAAAGGCCGAGAATGCGCAGTTAAAGGCTGAGAATGCGCAGTCGAAGGCCAAGGTAAAGAAGCAAAAAGAGGAGAGAAAGGAACTGATTGAGAGTATGGGAGTACATATCCAATGGGTAGGGGATGAACTTCGGGTGCTGGAAGCAAAAAGGATGGAATTAACCAGCAAGTAGAAGAGAAGTTAGAGGTAGGAGAAGAGCATCAAGTTAGAAGAACGTGCTCAATACAGTATAAACCTTAGGAGTATAGCAGTAGTAGATAGGATTCAGACATAGGTAAGTGAATGGGGCAGGAGTTATAGGACAGGAAACGATAAAAACGAGTTAGATAATAAACACTATATTTAAATAGCAGCTTCAGTGAGTATTTAAGTAAATTTGGAGAATATTATCTGACTGTAAATGTTATGTGCCAATGCAGGCCATTAAGAGCGAATCTACAACAGTGCTGTAGCCTCAATTGCGCCCCTACAATCAACATAGGGCTAGTACAATGTAATAGTTGTGTGTGCAAATGCAACTAACCTGATTCGCAACCAATCTTGAAGCAAATCCAACACACATCTGCGTTACAACACTTGAACCACAACAATGTCTGCGCCAGAGCGCTGGTCTACTCTATAATCCAGGACCTGACCCAAACCCGAACTTACCAAAGCGATATCCAACGCAGACTTGCTATGCCTATGGAACACTATTGAAGAGTGCTGTCGGAGATTAATGACAACGATGCTGGAATAGTTGCACAAAGCAATGACGACTGGCCACCTAACAGCGGCGAGTAGGCCAGAGAGAAAGACCACAGTGCCACAGATACAGAACCTGATTCAGAGATTCAACAGTTCAACGACAGAAGAAGGTGAGTCTCTTTGCGAAAAGGGCGAGGGAAGTGTCTGGCGTGAGTTTGTTTCGTGGCGAGAGACGAGGAATGTTGACTATATGACAAGCTTACAAGATGAGACTATGTCAAAGGTCTCGGGGCATTAGAACCAATCAGTAGTCACTGAGGAAGGAGCGCTAATCAAGGAGCTCAAGATAGAGATCGAGAAGCTGCAAACGGAGAAAAAGAGTGTCCAGGAAGAAGCCATTACCCTTGTCGCGGAAGTCGAGCAGCTAAAGAAGGTCAATGGACAGGAAGGAGTTGTCAAATTCGTGTTGGATTATAAGCAGTTAAACAAGCAATTCAAAAAGCAGCCAAAGGAGTCGACAGGGGCTTTCAGCTTTTCGGTAAACATTGAGGGGTTGACGGAGCGGTTGATGAGGAAGCTACAAGATGCAGTAGAAAATGCTTGTTTTGAGATACAGCTCAAGCGGTTGGAGGGAAGAGAAGAGGATATTGGAAAGTTGGAAACACTTGCTCAGCAGCATGAGGAACGTCTTGTAGACTCGCTCTACTATCCCCAATCAGAGCCGGTGACAACGCGGCACCAGTGCTGAGAACTACGATATAGACCTGTGAAGATTCTTTCTAGCAAACTGGCTCCAAACATAGCAATAACTACTGTCAGGAAGGCCGTTAAAAATAAAGCCATAGAAGTAGTTCGGACGTTAGGAAAGAGTCTTCGAAGTGAATATAAGATAGACTGCTAATCTTGTAATATTTGAGCACAAAGATGAGTGAAACTTCCAGCAGCTCCGAGATTTTATAGACGCAGAGGATTTAATGCATCAAAACGTGCAAGGCAACAATATTTGCTGTCAGGAAGCGGATTTGCTCAAGCCAACTATCTGGCTGGAACTCATTACATGATCTTTTGAACGGCGACGAGTAGGTTGGTACGAACATGGACATGGCAACTGCGGCATGACTTCCGTCATGAGCGTCTAGTTGAAGAAGCCGTGGCGGGTAGAGTCGGGAAATACACCAACGAATGCAATCTTCCCCGAGATGAAGCGTCAACAATTACTAGCAGCTGAGGTTTCTCAGTCCTACCAACCTGTTTGTTAAGCCTCGGTATGGACTGTTCCAGATGGCGTGGCGAGGAAGCGACTAGACTCAAGCCAACTGTTTGCCCGTATATTTGGTCCATGTGCCCTTTGGATGTGGAGAAAAAAATGGAGATCAAGACAGAGGTCGAGGTTGGCATTGCAATTTGTATGACAAGCGCTCAATCTAATGAGTTGTCGCGTCTGGGATTCGTGAAACCATCCATGAAAGCGCATTGGCAGCTAGACAATATAGGCGGAACGTGAATACTCGTTCGAGCGTGTCAGCCTTTGCAAAAATTTGGAGTAGAAGAGTTGTTACACGCCGCATAAATCGTTGCCATATGCTGACGTGGCGAGATCGCGGCACAAACGGCAACATAGTCCGCCCGATAGTGCTTAAATGTGTTCAGAGATAAATCAGCCAGTAGTTGTAGCACCTCCGCAACGGGCGCCTTCTGCAGGGAAGAAGGCAAGCTGAGGGTTGACATGGCTACTGACGAGAGTGCAATGGTGGTATTACTTGACACATTAGCTTTCCAAATGTAGAAGTGGGGAATCAAACTTACTCCGCAGAACTTCAAGAGGATATAATGGCACGTTTGGCTTGACATCTGCATTGAGCGCCCGGTCCGAGAGGCTGTTGTAGCTGGGATTAGCGAATCTCACGACGGCGAGGCTTGATGCATGTAAATAGTGTTCTCCGCCGCCGCCGTTCGACGTGCAAGCTTCCTGAGGAGGTGCACCAATTTGCAATGGATAAGGTACGTTTGCGCTTGTTGAGCTATTATATGTATTTATGAGGGCGCGGCGTGGAGCGCGATGTGCCGTGCGCAGCAACTTGACGAGGGATGCAGAACATGTGCTCCAGCACTTTTGCAGCCAGGCTGAGAAGCATTGTAGGCAGGAGGACTCACGGCGAAAACCGGCGTGTACTATGTTTTAGATGGTCCAGGTTGCGCCGTCTGTCATCATCACAGCAGCAGGTGGGGATGATGTGGTGTCCTGACCTTTGTCGGCTGCAGGGTTCACGGCAACCTCCGCTGCAAGAAGCCGCTCTAGGAATGCCAAGTAAAGGGTTCATGGAAGTCAGCGGCCTCGTGGATCGATCAGCAATCGATCAGATAACAAACGCACTGTCGCGATCAGCTCATTTACAAGCTGGTCCGAAAGCAGACTGGAGTTTGCACTTTCAAGAATACATCACACATCGCGAAATACAGAGTACGCAGTCATCGCTCTCCAGCATTACATTGGTGTAATAGGCGTTAGTGTGTGGGCCAGAAAGATCACGTCACTTCGCATGGCTGGTCGGTGGTCTCATGCATGCGTGGCCTTCCCGAGCCGAGGCTAAGAAAATAGTGACATGGATGCAAGCGAGGTGCACAAGGAGACATGTCCGTGCATGCTTTCGCTGTCACACTCCTCCGGCAACGACCATTACTTCTCCTGATCCTTATCCAAAGACCGTCTTCCATGGATTCTATGAGTACTGGGCTCACAGATTTTACCGTCTTGTTAGTTGGGTCTTAGCTCAAGAGTTTGTCTTTCTCTAAGCAGACATGGGCCTGTGTCGGAACGCACGACCATTCCCAACACCATCCTTATGTCGCACCCCCTTGCTTGGTCCACTGCGTCTGTGTAACGCCAACCCCCCATTCCTCTTTGCTCACTATTCTCTACCATCAATACTCAAGCTCCCTCATCGAAGACTTTCATCCAGCATGGTCTATGTTTACCGCTCACGACTCTTTCTCAACCTCAATGTTTTTTCTTTGGTGCTTGCCCAAAGTCCGGCAGCCTTTCCCTCCGACGTGACGTCGCCCCAAGGCTTCTTCGGTGGATGCAGAAAACGTATATACGCTGATTGTCAAGCTACATCACTTGCCCAGTGTCCATTAACTGAACGAACCTTGGACACCCACCATGAGCAACCCTCTACACCTCAACCTTCTCAGGAATGCAGCGTACTTCTATCATTCCGAGCATGTCCTGCGTGAAACAAACGAGGTGAAGGAGCACCTTGCTCAAGTCCAAAGCGTGCGATCTCGGCGTGACCGCTCCTCAGGCGACTATCAACCTCGCCCTCATTCATCTTGACCGCAAAAGGTATGCGCGCTTTCACTCACGAAGCTCTGCGCTGACCTGTTCCGTGCGAGCGACAGTCGGAGATAGCAGACAGCACGTCCGCGTCCAACTCGCTTTCACCGCGCTTTTCTCGTCACGATCGTCTTCACCATGAGCGTCGTCCTCCATCTTCTCCTCCGCTGTCCCACAGAGCCGAGTAACGACACGCACACGCACACCGTCCTCCAAACTTTGCACGCGAGACGGCTACTACGCTATGGACCGAGCGGAGAATATGGAGGCTGTCTTCGAGGACCACGACGGCGACAGCCTTTACCACGCCAGGGTGCCCGTAGCAGCCGGCGAGAGTTTCTACACGGTGAGCCAACTGCCCCAGAGCGCACCCAAATACCACGCCGCTGACAACAACCAGGCCGACAGCTCCACCACGAGAGTGGTGTCCCTGAAGCAGGTGGCGGAGGAGACGACGGCGACGCCGCTCATCGTTAGCGCTCGGGCCTCAATTGAGACCTTTGCGACCGGCGACACGCTTGACTTGAGCGCAGATGGAAGCTCGAGCTGGAACGAAGACATGGTCAGTAGTCGCGCCATTCCGCGACGGACATGTGGTAACAGAGGTGCAGAACTCCCCACGCGGAGTCTTGCCTTCACGAGCCGCCCATGACGAGAGGTCCGTCGACGAGAGTCTCGCCCCTCTGCCAACCAGCGATCGTTTCCCAGATGTGCGCATAGCTCTGCAACCTGGTGCAGGCGGGGACAGCGCATCATTTCCTGACCGCCGATTGTCGAAGTCGTCCGCTGCTTGTGACATTTTGCCGCAGACCGACACTCCAGATTTCTGTGGTGAGTATCATTGACATTATTCTCCGCTTACTGCAAGCTGACAAACGTATAGATCATATCGGCTGCGCGCAGCATCTCACTGAGCCCACGCTCCACACCACGACAGCACCGCACGAGAACAGCTCCACGACGACCGATGACGACCCTCCCGCGGACATCATGGTGGAAGCCCCCAAGTCGAAGAAGAAGGCAACCGGGCGCCTCCGAGCCGTGTTTCGTTACTGCCTGAACACTTGTAAAGAGATGCTGAAGAAGGCATAAAGAGATCGCTATCTGCCGGGGACCCTGTTACTGCAAATGTAGTTGTCTGGATGTCAAGTTGGGGCGTGGGACTGAACGCGAGGGCATGAACGCGAGGGCGAGGGCGCGGATTTCCCGCGACTCGTCTTTTGAGGTCGTGAACTGAACAAGTATGCGCCTTATCCTTTGATGCTCCATCGTCGCTTCATTTTCTTCATCCAGTGCCTGATGTTGCGCGGTTAACACATTAGCCTTCGTAGATAACAATTCAGACTCGAGCCTCGCGCTCGATGCATCGGTATGTGTAGTTGCGAGTGTCTGTATTTCATCGACCTTTGGCTAACAGGTCTTCCTTCGTATATTTCCGGAGTGCTTGAAATCTGTACAAGACGCCTTTTCGACGTGTTCCTCAGCTACCTCTTTCAAGTGTTTCCACTAAGCCCTCTCAGACTCGAGTTCGTCTACAGTTCTTGGATAATCAGCTGCGATTTGGGCAAATGACAGGTCGAGCGCCTGGTTCATGTCCTCTGTGGTCGTGACGGTGCTTTGGAAATGGACGACCTAATCCTTGGCTTGATCTAATCTTGCTGTGCGGGCCTGAAGCTTCGTTTGCTATCCTTTGATGTCATCGTAGAGCCACTGAGTATGTTCGTCTATATTCGTAGCAAAATCATTAGACGGAGGATTAACTTGCTGCCTTTGGATCTCGTCGCGGGTTTTCGGGGTCGAGTACGCTACAGCAATGTCAGCCTGCGTCTTGTGCTGAGCATCTTTGAGATGTTGCTCTTGCTAGTTTTGCCACGCTTGGTATTTTGGACGGCTTGTAGTGATCCGCAGGTCTTCTAGCAGTTAAGTCAATCACCCTTGCAAGCTGCGGATAAGTTGAGGTTGAAGTTGACAGTGTTGCGCTTCTGCCATCGCTTGATGTCGAGCTCCCTGAAGGTTTCAAGACAGGTGAGGTAGGTGAAGACGAGTTCTAGATATAATTATCGACACTGCTAGGCGCCATTAGCTCGACATCGTGAACTCAAATCGCGAGTCGTCACCCGGCTGTGCCATGGTATGAAGTTTATACAGCGCTTTAGATCGCACCTTGGAACGACTTATTATTGTATTTCAGTTGTATACATTCTTACTATAGTACTGGCTACTTCCTGGAGTGAGGTCTTGCAATGAGTTCGAGTATGAGCTGGGCTGCCTCTGCGGCAAAACGACTTTCCGCCAACTCCCGAGAGTACGCCGCGTACATCGGAGTCCAGACCTGTTTCCCTGTATAGGCCGCTTCGGCCTTTCGTTTATGCGCGCAGGTAGGGTAGGTGAAGGGTAGAGGGGTGGTTGGATGTATGCGGTGAGTTGCGGGAATGGAAATGGGATGGAAAGAAAGGAACCATTGAGAAACAATCAAGATGGAAGTTCATTCGTCGTGCATTGAAAAATGTAGCATATCAGGCATAGAAATAACATGTTATTACTGTATCATCATGGAATCTCGCTCACCAGGAATGGAAAGGAAAAGCAATAAGCTAGTTAGGTCTGAGATGATCCCAATCACCTGCGGTTCAACTATATGTATGCCGTGTGGTCGCACATGGAACGGACTTCTGAAGAATGCTTTACAGTTTTCCTTACTTGCATTGAGTGGCTGCAGCTTGCCGTTATATCGACCCCGTATGTCACATTGTTTCTGAACACTGTACCTCAAGAATTCGCATTATTGATTTTGGTAGCTGCAATGTGAAAAGCCTGGGAATGAAAGATCTCGATCTGGGCTTTCGTTGCGAAAGACAAGTAGAAATGAATGACAATGATGTAGATAGACTTTGTGATGAAATTGCATTTCATGCCTAGTCTTCACCACGTCTGGATAGATCTAACAGCCGTGGCGAACCAACGCTTCGCAGACTCAAATTAAGAGCTCGACTATGCTCTAAAATGCACGCTCAACTGATGTGCTAATGAGTAGCCGCACTCAGAGGATTCACGCGTTACCTGTCTTAAGAGCAAAACAGAAGGACCAATCAGAACACTTACTATGAAGCAAATGATCTTGTTTTCGAGACCTGTGCTTAGCACGCCCAGCGCAAAGGCGTCCATCTTGGTAAGCAGTCTGTCCATGCGATTGATCTCGTCGCAGAGCCACTTCGACGGCTCAGCAAACTTGTCGGTGGTGTCCTAATTCACTAGCATATTCGTGCTGAGGATTGCTATGTACTGCATGCAGCAAGAGGACGAACGTGGAGTTGAAGAGGGCGAGGAGAGGGACAGGCGGAAACGTTACGCCCAGCAGTCCAGAATTTGTGCCATCCTAATGGTGGTTGACCACGTGGAGTTGTTGATCTCGGACTTCGCTTTGTCCAAGCTAGCCTTGCGCAGGGTATGATACTACACGCTAGTTGTCATACTTGATACCATAGCCCGGCCGTCATTCAGCCCAGTCATGAGAGTGTCCAGACACATGTGGTCGTTGTTGGCGGATTTGAATAGCAAGAGCCATTCGTCAGGCTTCGGCAACGGCTCGAGCTTCGATGCTCTGCCTGTTACGCTCCCTAAAAACACAGTCTGTCGAACCAAGCGATATGCTCGTGCGGCGTTTGGGTACATATTGATATTGATCCTTTTGGCGCGTGGGTACTGGAGCACAATCTGTTCCACTATAGTTCCCAGCAACGATCTGAATGTTAGTTATACAGCACCCCTTTAGTGGTCTCTATTCAGCACGTCGTTCGCCACTATGTTTTGATCAATCTACATCTATCCCCGCACGAGAGCCGTCATGTTCTCATCAAGAGCCATGAGTATCACAGTGTTGATGTCACGTCCATGCGTCCGAGTAAGTGCTTTGATATCCCTAGCGATATATCGAGACTATTGCTTCTTGAAGTGGGGTACCTCAGTACGAAAGCTCAACCAAGCTTGTGTTTGACTCAATCTCGGTCTGCGTAGAAAGGATGAGAGTCTTGCGGGCAACACTGAGGTAAACGTCCGGTTCTTGGAAGTTTGTCAGCGTGAATCGCGGTCGTTTATGAGTGGTATGTTGGGTTAGTGCAAAGGTCAGAAAAGGGAAAGAGTACTTACTCCGAATCTGTTTTTCTGCATGCAAGGGTTTGCACCTTTGCTGTCCCCATTCCGAGTTTATCCTTCATAACAAAAATAGAGAGATAGCTGTATAGATGCTTCCCTTGCTTTGCGAGCTGTACGTTTTTTGAAGCTCCTGCTAACGTCAGGTCACTTTCGGTTTGTATGTCCGGTAGTGGTACGGAACCCTGTCGCGATTGCTGGCCCCTCTAACCTCATCGCCAGACGACTGAGATGCCTCAACGATGGACGGTCGGTCTCAGGTTGCCAGATTGAATTTGGTCAATGTAACCATGACGTGGTCGTCAGCTTTCGTCACGGTGACAGAATGCTCAACGACTACGTCCTTCATCTGCTCTCTGCCATTTTTACCGTCGTCTCTCAGATTAGAGATGCGCGCTGAGGAGGTGCCTGGGGTGGACACAAATGCTCCTGACTGACCATGGCACATAGAAGGGCAAGAGCTGACCATTACCAAGCGCCGAATGCACCGGGACAGACCACTGAAACTTGTGATCACAGTTGTCGAGTGAACCAGATACGTGTAACAGTCATCCTTCGCCTAGATGTCGGAGCCGAGGAGATAAGTCGCACGTTCGAGTTTTATCGAAATTATGGGCTTGGTATGAATGGACCGAAGTACCCGTGCCAAAGTCGGCCAGGGTACAACTAGGCTCTAACAGAAATATGCTGCATTTCATTTGCGGCGTGTAGAATGTCTGCAAAACGGAGCTTAGAAGACGAATGAGTCGTGCGGCTCAAGGGGGGACTTGGTTGGCTTATTGCGTGACGTGAGTGCCTTGACAACTCCATCGCGTTTTCAGTGTTGGGCAACATGGGTCGATCCTGAAATTCACATGTTCACAAAACTACGAAATCATTTGTTGGCTTGATCACGCTGATCCAGTGCAGGCCGTGAACGTCACTGTGGTTGACTCAACGTCTTTCCAGACGGCAATCCCGAATGGATGATTTTGAGCGAATTGGAAGGCCTGCTGTAGCATTAAAAACTATTTGTGATTGTGTAGTGATACCAAAGTCGAGTCGGAAGATAGGGGTCTCCAAGATTTATAGGATGATAGCTCCTGGCTACAGCGACCAGCGTGGCCTGCTCCCGTGAAAATAGGTGTTGTATCGATGACCGGATGTATAATGTAAACTTTGACCCCCCACGATAGAATATGATAGTGATGCGAGGTTGGATTTGAGATGTAGATGAGATGTCTGATGATAATGCTGTGGATAGCTCAGGGGCGAAGGCGAGGCTGGATGTGAGGAAACTTGTGATAAAATTGATGAGTAGAGTGAGGAATGATACTGGAATAATTGTTGTTATCATTACAGTTCAGACCGCTTCTCTTCGTCGACATGTTGACTTGCGGAACAAAGTAGGCTGATCGAATGATGTTGAAGCCCGCGCCGCAACATCGTAAAGGTAGATCGGTCGCAATGGCATAGAACGCGGTTCCTGATTGCTCTTACAGAGACTTTAAGGCTGGGAACGACACTACCGCCCCGGTGCGAACAACCTACAAAGGGTAGTGAGCTGTTCAGCAGGTCATCTGCTTTAGTTCATTGCACACTGTCTGCTGTT